TGTCTATGAACTGTTTTTGAAGTATGAACATTGTACAGGTTGTGCATTCATTCTGGGGAGACCCAAAGTGTTCAGAATCAAATAAGTAAATAATACATTATGAAATTAGTAATCAGATGAATGCATAAAGACAACATATTTAATATAACCAAAAAATGGTGAAATAATTCAGATGTGTCTGCTTCTCAGCTTATTCTAATAAAATGTTATTTCATTTAGGGCTACTGATGATTATTTTATAGTCACTTAATGTGATAATTATTTTCTTGATCAATCAATTAATCTTTGTTAAAAATATACAAAAATAATGAAAAATACTTGTCCAAAGTGACTTTGAAAATTGAAATTGCTAATTGACCAACAGTCTAAAACCAAAGATATTCACTTTATGATGATATAAAGCAAAAAAAAAACAGTAAATCCTAATTTAGGAGATGAAGCCGGAGAATGTTTCACATTTCTGCTTGAAAAATAACCTTATTGATTAAAATAATTTTAAAAATGAATAAAATAAATATATAAATATATAGAAATAGAAATATTTCGGTTCTAATTTCCTAAATCACAATCACAAAATGGCTCTGTTATGTTTTTCTTGATTGACAAAGACTTGATAAGGAATAGTGGCATTGTGAAATAAATGGCTTTGTTAAATGAGAACATACTTGAAATAGAACTACTGGAATTAAATAAAAAAGACAATCAACTTTTATTGTTAAAAGAAGCAGGATGTATTGGATTATTTCATAATTTCATGGTTGCATAAATCATTGTTATGTTTTTATTCATATGATATTATTATTTCTTAAGGTCTAATTTACTCATTTAGATTTGAACAGTTCAGGGATCCATACACATTATGAGTTAAAGCTTAATTTGAGGTGTGTGTCTATGCAATTACAGATCTTCAGTTCTTCTCAGTAGTGAAATGTAATTTTTAGACCTACAATTATAATTATAATCAGGGTCCCTCTCATTTTCTATCTTTTGTAGGAGATTCTCAGTATAACCATTACACGTACAGTTTATATTTGGCCTATTTCTTTCAGTTTTTCAGCTGCAGAAAATCAAAAAATTTCAGACTAAAGAAATGTTGTCTTACAGACAAATGTATTTATTTTTGCCATCTTTAAATCCCAGGACTTAAATATGGAAAAATGCAAGAAAACAAAAAAGGAAATAGGCAACCAATCACTTACTAAAGAGATCTGGTGTATCAAGCATTGCCATTGTACTAGGAATATGATCTTTATGTACATATATATGTTGGCTGCTTTTATTTACTAAAATAGTATTTACAGTTTCTAGACATGAACATCATTTCAAACTCATTAAATACAAATATATATATATAATTTGTATTATTGCATACAACCTAATAGTTCTGCACTAGCGATTTTTTGTGCAGCACTATCTATCTATTTCTCTTACGAGTGATAGGATTCACTGCTGATACTTATGGACACATGGAATGCAAACACAAAGGGTACCTTCCTGTATGGTACAGAGGAAACAGTTTTACGTCAGAATCAGAGTTTAATCTATTGCATCATTCTTTCATTTATTAAGTATGTCAAACCTTTAGAGTAAAGCACATCATTGTCACACACAAGGATGAAGGGGTGAAAAAAACCTCAAAAGGTTAAGTCCATGGGGGGGAAGTGTACACAAAAAACAAATCCACAAAAGTGGCTGGTGACAATGGAGAAATGGTCCCTGGTATTGATGTTTCTACTGTCTAAATGGTCAGTTGTGGTAAACGTGGTGATGGTTGCAGTGTTTGCTTCCTCAGTCCACCTCCATCTCTTTCGTGCCAGGCTTTGTCTGCTGGCTTCCCTTTGGGTCTCCCTTCCCTTCTGCTCCTTGCTTGGCTGTCGGGCCGTTATGAGCTCCACTGTTTTGGTCATTCGCTTCAGGGGCCTCCTCCACTGTGGGCTTTGGCCTGTTGATCACTGGATTACATACATCCTCTAGTTCCTGGTGAGTAACAAGAGTAGAACATGTTGGCAAGAGAAAATTGGCAGATCTCTTCACAGCTAATGTGACCAACAATTTAATCTTGAATAGTCATTTACATACCTGTATTTTGGCAATGATGTCTGCTACTTTAACAATGGGATCTTGAGTAATACCGAGTTTACTCTGTGCGTTCATTTTGCTGTTCATCCAGCCCATGCTTTCACTCACACACTTCTCCACAGTGCTCATTTCCTCTGGACTCAAATGCAGGTATCGCTCGTCCTAGAAAACAGTTTGTGACAAGAAAATTAAAACCGTGGATACTTTGATGAAGTTCATAGACATACTTGTAAAGCACTGTGTAAAATCCACAATTTGTGGCACTTTTAAACATGCTGTCATTAAAGAAGGCGTAAAGGCATCCTTGCATCCCTAAAACAAAAGGATTTACCTTCTGTTTAAAGGAATCCACACACTTCATGTAGAGTTGCAGTTTCTTTCCCAGCTCTTCAAAAGCCCTTGGCCTGTCCTCATGCTCTCTGTGCCGGTCCTGAATGGGTTGACCCAACCTCTGGAAAATAACAGAAATTGTGTTGACAATTATTCTCTCTTAAAAATCTTTAACAACCTTTCAAATGCCTCTTAGCCTCAATACACCTCCGTAGGTTACTTTTACTAGTAGTTTGTAAAATCTATTCTGAAATTGAAAACAGAATTTTCCTTGGAATAAATAAAAACAAACCTTAAGTGCATCGAGCTTCTCCTCATAGACTTGTTTGGGTTGGTCCTCTCCATCCTCATACAGCCAGTTCTCTGTGTCCTCCAGCATCAGTGAGAGCCGGTTACTGTCCTGTTATTAATGACCAAACATAAAACAGATATTAAGTAAATACGGTATTAGACCATTTGCTTGGCACATCTTCTCATTTATAATAGTTTTACAATGTCAGACAGTTTTTAGCAAAGGTATGTAAGGAAGCAGCACTCACATCCTCAGTTATATACTTTTCATAGATCCCACAAAGTTTGTCTCGCAGATCATATACATACTCCTCAACAGCATTTTTAGCGTCATTCGACTCTTTCACCAGTTTGTCCTGGATAATCATCTGACGCTGTGAGGAAAAAACACAAAGAAGCATCACAGAGGAGCTAAACAATAACAGCAATACCTTCTAATACAATATAATAATCTAACTCACAAACTAAAGCATCAAAAAAGACCTCGTAGTTGAGTTAACACCTCTGATGAATTGATGAATTGACACCAGTGCAGCTTGGGTTGTAGTTTATACGAGGTTAAGAGATATGTATGTATGCCAAAAGGCCTAATGACATCAACATGTCTACCTAAAATGAAGACATTAAGTAGGAGGAACATTATTCCAAAAATAAAAAACTAAAATGCTGCTGGCACAGATTAGGCCAATCAGTAAGCATTAAACAAACACTGTGCCTCCTTTGTGGGCCAATCAGTGCTGGGAAATTGCCGGAAAGGAACAATGACAATAATGAGTACAAGCCACCATGGGAAACAATCCACCACAGCACGACGAGTAGAGCACATATGAAGCACATATCAGGTTTTAATTCCACTCTATCCATTAGTACTCGGGTAATCAGCATTTCAATCAGACCATGACTCAGCTTTTCCAAAGGCCAACAGGAGCACTCACCTCATACTCCACAAAGTCATTAAGGACATCACTGTCGAGCTGTCGAATGTTGCTGGCCATGATGGGCAGATCAATACTCTTCACCTTGACTTTGGGCTTGCTTCCCCCTGCTGCTGGGTCCTGCTTTTCCCCTGCTGCCCCCTCCTGGAAACACAATTCAGTCTTTCAGCTGTAGTCCTTATATAACTTCTTTTGTAATTTTACAGTTTTTATAGATTGTGCAAGTCACAAAATTTATATTTTAACTATATTATATTTTTTAAGCTTAAT